TTGTCATTTCCTCTTCCCAGGAAAAAGGTGTGCCGATGGGAGCCGCGCTCCGGCCCGGCTCACACAGGGCTATGTGGGGTGGCTAGGAGCAAAGAGGTCCAAGTGCCCAATGGGGCACCGACTTACCCCATTTGCATGCCCCATTGGGGTAATTGTGCAGCAAATTATGCATGCAAATGAAAGCTAGCCTTCTCCCACAAAAATGTATTTAATTAACATGAAGGGGCTGACGAAGCCACAGAAATCAAAGCCATTCAAATTGAAGGCTGGAACTGTGTTCCCCAATTCTCCCGGCTGCTCTAGGAACACCAGGAAGGATTGGTGCCAGCACCCCTGTGTCAGCACCCCTGTGCCAGCACCGATCCTCTCAGGCAGCTCCCCAGCCCCCCCAAACATCCCACCCTGCCTGTCATAAAACCTGACTATTTTAAAGCACTTTTTGGTGCTTGGGTGGTCTTGAGTCTTGAAAGAGCTGGGATTTGGTGCCCCAGCATCACCTCCCTCATTCCCAGCTTCCCTAGGAGGCTGAGCCCCCAAAGCCCCAAGGGCTCTGGACAAGAGCTGGGTGCTGGGTGCCTGCTCCCGTGGGCACCCCCTGACCACCGCCCGGTGCAGCAGGGTCTGTCCCGGGGAGCTCCCTGATCTCGTTATATCCACTTGTGGTAGAGGGAATGTAAAAACGGATGGTGAGGACTTGGGAGATGCCTCCCCAGCCCTCACTCACCCCTACCTCCTCCCCAGGGTGCAGTTCCCCTCCCTGCCCAGGCTCCCCGGGGAGGGTTTCTCCCCATGCTCAGGGCATGGGCTGTGGGGGACCCCGTGCAGGGCCTGGAGGGGTGCAGGGGAGGAAAGGGGCCCCGGCTGGTCCTCAGCAGCGCCACGGTAAGACACCTTCCCATTGCATGGCACACCAGGGTGCAGCAGCCTTGCTCTGGGGAGGTGTCCCCAAGCCCAGGACATCAGCCACATCGGTGGGCCAGGGCACTGCTCCGTGCTTACTGCCACCCCCCTGCCCCCAGCCTTGGCACAAATGCTCCCCGAAAGCCTTGTGCTCAGCCCGGACAGGGACACCCGAACTTAAAGCAATGAGCAGAGGCAGGGAAAGGTTTTGTATCCAAATATCTGCTCTGCTCATCCTGCTGGGTTCAGGCCACCCCAGTGCCTGCCCTCGGGGGGGACGGGGGACCGCCTTGCACCTCCAGTGCTCGTGGCCCCGCTAATGCTGGCTGGAAACAGCTCTGCTTTCGCTGCCGCTCACGCAACCGCCTGGAAATAGGCCGGTGGCTGGAGCCCGGCACTGCTCGGCGACCAGCTGGATGGGATTCCAGCAGTAATTAGCAACCCGGAGGATTTTATTTTGAACCGTGAATCAGTGTCCCTCTGCAGGTAATTAGGTCCACCCTGCTGCTGGCACCAGAGCTGCCGTCCTGCCTGCGTGCCCCGCTCGCTCCGCAACTGGTTCACGTGCGCCCACCAAAATGGGGAGTGCCGGGTGGGCGCCGCAGCCGCCGCGGTGCTTTCCGGCCTCCCTCCGCTCCATTACGATGGCCATGGTGTTCGGGAGGGAGCAGCCCAGTTCATTGCAACTTGGGGACAAGCTCACCGAGTCGGACCCAGCTTGGTGGCAGCCTGCCGGCCCCCCGCCCACCCTCGCTGCATGGCTGTCCCCCTCTCCATCCCCACTTTTTGAAGTGGAGCTGGCTTTCGCGCCCAGGCTCTGCGCAGCCTGCCAGGGACCGCGGCGGCTCTCTCCCAGCACCCAGGGTGCAGCCCCATGGCCTTGCATCCCTCACAGCCGCTCCCCAGCTGTTCTTAAGCCCAGCTCAGTGCAAAAGAGACTTTTCGGAGCCGGGGCGCTCTGAGGGAGCAGCCGGGGCCGAGGGATGCTCGGAGCTATCGC